CCTGATTTAATTTAGTAGAATTAGGATGATTGATTTAAAGCTTAACAGAACTCCTGAAGAAATTTTGAAAGTGTACATATTTATTATTATTCTTGAACAGACATCATGAGTTGTTTAACCGATTGCAATTCCTCTTTGAGTAGTCATTCAAAATCAAAGGGCATTTTGGTCTTTTTCAGGATATTTTAATGCTGAAAATGATGTAAAGCGCGTAAAGAAAATGGCAGCTGTATTCCCTCTACTGATTTAGCTTTAGCCACTATTTCATATTTTTTCTTTGTTTTGAAGTTTTCAATTGCGACTTAACTTGCTGTTTTAAGGCTGTAAGAATACCGCAACGATTTTTTTCTTAGTAAAAAATTAGTCGACAGTTTCAGATGAAAAATTTATGTTTAAACAACGAAGGTTCCGTCTTTCAGTGCTTTATAGCTTTTTTTTTCTTGCGATTTCTGCGATGTTTGTCGTTTTTCAGGTTCCGAATTTATAACGAGACGGTCTTTTCTACTTGCTTTCATAGTCGCTTGTTTGTTGATCGACGAATTTTTACCTAACTTTTGCTAGTTGTTTTACGATGTGAAACCTCTGTTGAACGATTCCGTTATAACGATTTTGTGATTTACTTCGTATAATTAAATTTAAATTTGGTTACCTTTTCAAAAAAGGCAAAGTTTAATATGGATCTATGTTGCTGCGCACCATGTAAACCTCGTTACAGGAGACTTGTCGATGATATATACTTAAGGTATCCCTATGCTTTTCCTTTATTATTACATTTTTCTTTTTTTTTTTCTTTTCTTCTCTTCAAAACGTAAGACTTTTTTGGTTGCTTTTTATAGATCTGGCACTGATGGATTGCATAAATCCAACATGCAGAAACTCACATTTTATGTTTTGTCACAGCCAGAAAAACTTGATAGAATTGGAGAGTACATTCTACTAAGGCTTTCTCGTGATCTTTACCGACAAAGGTATACTCAAGTGAAGGTCAGAAATAAATTGTTTTTGTTTTAAAACCTTCACCTATTTGCTCTCTGCTGTATTTTGTTGATGCGTATCATTTTTTTCAAAAAAAAAAAAAAAAATCTCTCTTCAATTTGTTCCTCGTTCTTCAACGTCTTATTTCTGATTAAAATTTGCTTCTTATAGCCATAACAGTAGTGAAAATGTATTTGTGGAAATGAATTTTTCATGGAAAGTTGGACTTCGATGTTTTCTTTAAAGTAACGTTTTAGGTTTCGGTGGAGGCGATGGATCAGTTATTACAAAGTTGCCATGTACTTTCCAGTCTGAATCAGTTTATTGAAAGCTTTCTCAAAATGTTACAAAAGCTTTTGGAAACCAACAATCTGGCAATGGAAGTAAAAACACATTTTTATCAGTCATAATTAAATATAAGCCTTTGCCAGAAAAAGTCGAAATTTATTTACTCAATAAGAAATTGTACATTGGGGCCTGTTCAAATAGTTTGGTGCATTTTTTCTTGTGGTGCCTGTTTCTTTTCCAGATTGCTGTTTTATATCACTAGAACTACTTGTTTAGAAATTGGCTACGGATTCATTTGTTAACTTTGCAAACATTGAAGAGAGTACACCTGCATACCATCGCGAATATGATTTTTTCATTGCGAAATTTGCTGCTATGTGTTTTTCTAATGATAGCAAGGATGCGAGGGCAATTCGTTACGCAGGTTTAAAGGGACTGAGAGGTAACTGTTGGATTGGTGGTTCTTTATTTATTGTATGGTTTCGATTTTTTCGTGGATGGGCGGTGATTTCTGCTTTTTCAGGTGTTGTTTGGAAATCTGCTACAGATCCTTTACAAGTTAGTATTTGGGAGAAGCAACATATGTGTAAAATTATTCCTGCAATACTTCTTAATTTGGAAGACAATGGTTTGGATTTCGAGCATTAATTTTAAATCATATCTCTTATTAAAATTTGTGGACCTTCAGATGATAGAGAGGAAAAAGATGAAGGTCATGGAGATGAACAGCCTTCGCCTTTCACACAGTCATTTGCCTCTGGAATAGCTGAAAGTCCAAAGGCTCTTTCTGATCAGTTTCTGAGGTAATGATCACTTGCGTTTTAAGATCATGTTCATGCAGTAATAAAGAAATCTGGAAGTTTTTTTAATCTTTTTTTTTACACTGATTTAGAGAGCTTATGGAAAAAGCGCCATTCGGGTTGATATCGGTTATTGAACCTGTTCTGTCTCATTGTGATAGCCATGGAAAATGGAAACCGCCAGCCAACTTTGCAACACACGTCTTTGGTGCAATAATGTTCAGTATCAAGGATCCCAGTTTTGTTATCCAGGTGATTTTTTGCTTTACATTTGCTTAACTTACGGCAAAACAAAGTTCCTCACCATTTAAATATTTATAGCGTGCTTGAATGTTTTGAGTTCTGCTTTATTTTACACTCCTGTTGCATTCCCAACCAGTTTTTATGATTTGTTTCATTTTAAAGATAGTTTCTTTTTTATAAATCACATAGTAGCCAACTCACTGAAGTATCTGTAACTATTCGTTTGTGAGCTGCTCAGTCGTTCTAGCTTTGACTTTTCTTTGGGCATTTCGACTGGTTTTGCATTATATCGTATTTAAAATTTGAACTTCTAAGGCTTTGATCAATCATTTGGAAACAAAGTCAAATTCGGATGCTTCAATTCGTATCGGTATTGCTACCGTGCTATCCAGTATTGTTTCCAGAGCAAACGCATGCATTGGGCCGTCGCTTTTAGGTAATTTTATTACCAATTCTCAACAGGAAAATTTTGCGAAATTCGTTATATTTACAATCTTTAAGGCATTTTTAACTCACTACTCAAACACTTGCGACAGTCAGTAGAGTTCCGTCACTCGAAGGAATGCCCATCGATAAAAGCTGAAGAAGATTATCAAAATACGCTAATTAATGCTATGGGGTACTATGCTAATGCTCTTCCAGATTACCAAAAGGTTATTTATTCTAAAGACTTAACTAATTAGTGGGAGTATTATAGTCACAAATTTGCGTTTTGTCAATCCTGTTTCCTTATCATTGTTTTAAATAGAATAAAAATTGATTTATGACAGGTCGACATAATGATGTTGATTGTCGAAAGTATTCCAAAAATATCAGGAACTTATCCGAACTTAACAGCTGCGGAAATGTATTTACGAAGTGTCTTGGTGAAAACTCTCCTCAGAGTAAGTTTAGAACAATTTTTCACAGTTATACTTTCTTAATCTTGAGGACGTCACACCTTTTCAGTGACGCCGTGATAATATAGCTTAAAGTATTGTTTTTTAGGTCGCAACGAAATATAAGACTGCATATTTCTCTGCGGTTTTTACTGATTCTTTCTTGAAGACATTATTGCAGCTTGCGGTAATTAATGAACCTAGTGTTAGGCTAAATACCCAAAGTATCTTCCACACACTTTTAGATAGGTTTGGCTTTCTTAAGAATTATTTTTTTATTTTTGTAACCCAGTCCCGTTTTTTAATTCGTTATTTATTTAGGCACGATAATTTAAGTTTGTTGGCTCATTTGCCGTGTTTGACAGATGTTGACAATCAGCCACTTATTCACCGATGTTCACGCGCAGATCAAATTTTCATGAGAAGCCATATAACTTCATTTACTCACATGTTATACAAGTAATAAGTAAATTAAGCACGACATTTTTTATCTTTGATTTTATAAGGTTGCCCACTCGGAGCATTTCCCGCTGTATTCTTTGTAATTTCAGGAATGTTTTTTTGAGCCCGGAGGACTCCACGTTAAGTGAACACATAGATGCTGCATTGTGTACGATGGCCTTGTTATGCGTAGAAGCTCGATGCGACGAAGTTCATATCTTTTTCCTTGCTTTGATTTTCTCATTTTTAGTTATAGGTATAAAATATTGTTTTTTAGGTGTTAGTCGAACTTTTACGCCTTGTTTTTGCATTGCAAAGTGCGGCGCTTGAATCGGTTTTCAATACTCACAAAAGAATTCTCGTCCATAGTCTGGTTTCGAAATATTTAAATTTTTCTAGTCTTCTTATGGCTGTTCCCTCAGTTTATCAGTACGTTCAACGTGTAAGTCTTTGCTGCTTTAGATTTGTTTTTTTTTCTTTTTTAATTTAGGGCATTTGAACCAACTTAATTTTTTAACTGAAGTTATTTTGAGCGTTGTTGCTTCCAGCAGTGCATTATTTTGAGAGGATTCCTTCAATTCAAAAGCCTAGCTATTATTTACTTTTAGGTTTTAAAACAACGGACACATCTAGGTGCCTCTGCTCTTAACATTTTATCTGCTTCTCGTGAAACTACGGAAGTCACAAGGTTCGGTAGAAGGGAAGTCCATGATGAAGCTCTAGAAAAACAGTGTCTCAGGAAACTTGTTGATGATCCTTCCTTAACTTTTAATAGGAATGATTTTGCGGAAATGTTAAAGGTTTGGTCTTCTTACAGCTTTTACACTGCTTTTTTATCACTTTTAGCAATCGACTTGTCCTCGCTTCAAAGGCGTCGTAATTTTTTTTGATTGTTACTATTTTTCGTTATATTCGTCTTGTTTTTTTAGGCGTCGGGTAAAGATGTCCAACGTTTATCTTTACCATTTGCTTCTAAAGGAAGAGGCATCAATGTTGACGGAGTTGAAAACTCATCTGATAACACTCAAAACGCACTTTTGAAAATTAGACAGAATAATGTAGATGAAAGTACCTTTTTGATTGACACTAGCTTTGAAACGTCACCTCCTGGTTCGAGGACCACTTCAAGAAGAAATACAATTTTGTCAAATTTTGAAAACGGTAAATATGCTTTAAACATATATGTTGAAACTTTATAGGTTTCTCTTGCTGACTGTTGTAAAATACGGTTACGATTCTGTTTGTACGCAACTAAAGATTGTTTTGCCATTTTTTAATTCTTACTATTGATAAAATCTTCTTTAGAAAATAATCTGCCGTACTTAACTGTTGATAGCTTAAGAAAAGCTTTAAACTCGTCGTCAGACTTAGCTGAAAAGGAAAGAATTGAAAAGGTGGGTGTTTATCTGTGAGTGGAAGTAGCATATAGCTTCACTGTACCAATTTTTACGGATACTTTTACGGTTTAATGTCTCATTTTAAAACATTATTATTAAAATTAACTTTAGGATGATTTTAGGAATTTTTGTGGCGTTATTTTTCTTGAATATTAATTCAGGTGGTAATATTAATTCAGTTTAGGAGAAAACTGTACGAGTGGTGGAGAGGTTTAGAAAAAAAGATTTTGATTATCTTGTTAAAGAAGTTGAACGAGTTAACGAAAGAGCCGATTTATCAACAGCGATTAAGCGGCTTCTGCAAAAAAGCGACGAGAACATCATAACTGAACAACCGAAAAGTATATTTGAAGTCAATTTTCCATGTGCACTGGTGGAGTAAAACTTCACTCTCTATATTTTTGTCACTGAAACTCATGATCTTTTTTTTTTCTTCTACATTCACTATTTCTTTTCTTAACTTGCCATTAGGTTTTATTTAATCCGAGCTTGATTACCATGATCTCTTCAACATTTCTCTCAGTTCATAATATTTTCTGAAATTTGTGGTGTAATTTATGACATTGTTTCTTCTTTATTCTTGCAGCTGTTGTATAGTAAAGAGGTCTTAATTGTGCTAACGTTAATAGTGCTAACGTTTTCCAAGCAACCTTTTTAAAATTTGCTCTGCAATATGCATTATTTGTAATGTATCTTAGTTACTTGCTAGTCATACCTCAAAATGACCACCAACTGCAATTTCAGTTCTTCAGTACTATCAAATCTTGTTTTATCTTTTGGCCAGTAAAGCTTCTACCAGCAGTGTTTTCACGTAGTGATAACCTCTGCCAGTACTTTTCCCCTAAAATGATTACTTGCAATTCTGAGTATTGAAAAAAAGATGATTCACTTTTGATTGAAACAGTATTTGATTTTTACATCCGTTTATACAGTTGTAGCTGAAGAGGAAAGCCAGAGTTTTCTGTTCGAGTTCTAGGCAAAGAAATTCGCCGTAGTGCATAATTTTTTAGTGTGGTA